CGCCTGTCGTTTTGGCAGGCTGCTTCAATATAAAACAAAAAACACGAAAATACCTGACTGTCGTCCCGACAGGCCACACAATTAACAACAACTTCAATGTGACTGTCATCCGACAGGCCACTAAAACACACAATATTGCATCAAACGAAATCATACAATAAATCACTGTGATGCATCAAATGACCAAGTCATACAATAAATCACGATAATGCATCAACCATACACCCGTGATCGATTCGAGACAAAAAGCTGCTCCGATACTTTCATATCGGGCAGCCAATAGTTATAATCCCAACGCCTTGAGATTTTATTGCATCACTACTAGTCCCATTTCGCAAATTTCGCCACTTTTTGCCTAACGGCTATACTACAGTTGTCATTAAATCCAGGAATAACATAGTGAATATGCTAATAAAATCTTGGTGTAAAGAATTTTTAATAATTTCGATATAGAAGAGATTTTAACAAGTCGAATCAAGATGAATTAAAAGCCTAGCCCTTACAAGAGAAAAAAACAGACATTTATAGAAACAATGTACATTTGAAAATTAGAGATGTGCAAAATAAACCGCTTAATCGCCTAACGTCAACGCTAATGTACTTTTTTATTAATTATAAGCCAACCAATTATATTACACGTAAAATGTGTTTTATTTATTACATAAATACATTTAAAATAATAATAATAAAAATACGTAATAATAAAACATGATATTCAAAGTTTTTACCGAGGATTTTCTAAAAAACTTAATTAGAAAGTCTATTTAGTAAAGAATTATTTTATGACAGTTATCGTGACACTATCACAGTAACACGAATACTGGTTAGGTTTAAAGCGTAACACTTGAACGCAGGTTTACTTTTTTTTTTTATTAATCCCTTAATTATTTATTAATTATAAATTTTTGTATCCCATTGCAAAATTTTTCTAGAATTTTTAAATAAGTTATGATAAATGCGTGATACATTAAAAATGGTATGTTTAAAAAAAAAAAAAACATTAATTATTTTTGACTAGATGACAAGGAAAATCTTTTAACAAAGGTTTAAATCACCACATTGACTCGCATTTATTTTGGTAGTATACATAGTTTATTAGTGGATAGTTTCAAAAACTTTATTAAAATCTAATTTATTCAAATAAATATTATTCGTGTGAATTGAAAATTAATTAGTTAATTTGAAGAAAGGGTCTGATAGAAAAAGGATGATAGCGGAAGGAATATAACCTTCATTGGTTAAAAAAACATAGAAATACTGCAATAGAGAAGATCATAATATGAATGCGTATTACGAAGATTTGCATAAATGCACGTACGCACGCATGTACGTGTTACGTGTAGCGCCAATAGAGATGAAATATACAATTTATCTGATTAGAAAAAAACCTAATATAGAAGAGAAAGAAACCTAAAAAGTAAAAAGTTGCCTCTTATATTAGTAAATTGGAACCATATTGTGATCATATTTTCCCAAAAAAGTTAAAATAAATAAATGAGTAAATACTCAATTGGATACTAAAGTGTAAAATTGCTTATTTCTATGAATGAAAAGCATTAGATTCCTCGATCAGTATAGCGTACACATACGTAAATCATGATACACATTCATGTTTAAACGATACTTGATCAATTTCATTGATAATTTTTAATACCAGTCGGCACCGGATGTTACACATCGTCACTATGATTAATACAATATACTCTAAGAGATTGTTCATGCAACAATCGCAGCGCATGGTTACAACTGAGATCAATCAATGCAAAGGAACAATTTGTTAAATTAATAATCACCTTAGATAAGGTTTACTATATATATATGCATCACTACTACCTTAAAATCTTATTTGTAAAAAAGGAATAAAAAACGATTTTTTCAGAGATATCTCTTCGTGTTCAGACCTAATAAATCCAAGAAAGTGCCTGGTTGAAAAGATTGAACGAAGCCTTAAAATTATTAGCATTAAAATCTTTAGCATATGCATCTTTAATTCATTTTTTTTAAACACGTTAATGGATTTATATACGAGGCCACATCTTTTTTGGGGTACCAAAATTATACAACTTTTGCTTGCTTTAACTTGCTTGGGTCTTGGTATTTATTAAATTTTTCTCGTTTATTATTTCTATAATGAATTAACACTTAGTTTTTAATAGAAATAACGCAAATTGTCGCATTTTTATCAATAACACCAAAAAGGTCTATATCAGAATTCTATGATAATTACAAGTAAGCCTCGTCATATGCAATTTTTTTTTTATTTTAGGAAAAAGCAACTGAAAATTTTTTTTCTTTTTTTACTTACAGAGGTTTCGGCAATCATGGAGTCAAAATCTTCTTTTACTTTGTAATACTGGCTACAATAATAGGTACCGGTAAGTTAATTTAAAATTTAATCTTTACAATGTTAATGATAGGATTTTTTAATTAACTTGTTCGAAATAAAAGGTTGGTATTTAATATATTTTAATAATTTATGGAGAAGTCCATTAATATTTCGGGATATAGGTGTTGACATCGGTTTTGCTATATTATGGATGATTTCAGGTAAGCCTTCTTGTTAAACCAATAATTCTCAATTTCATCTTATGAATTCAGAAACGTAAAAATTTTCTTTTTACAGGTTTAACCATCATTTTTCCAGTATATCATGGTATAACTTCGTGCAATAATACTGGACAATCTGCGCGAATACTAGGTTGTCAAGCATATTTTGCAAGTATATTTTGTTGTTGGACAACTTCGATTTTATATGCAATTACTAGTTTATTATCTTGGAGATTAAGTTTGGAACATAAATTTAGAGGTGCAAACACTCCTAGAACTCCTAGAACTCCTAGAACCTTTATAGTTTAATTAATTTTAACAAAACATTATTGAATTGGATTTTTTAAATAATTATATTCAATATCATTTACACAATTAATTATTATAATATATATATAGTATTAATTTAATTCTTCACAAGTGTAGGTTTTTTTTTTTTAGGTACAATTTGTAAATAAAATTCAAGATTTTTTATTTAAAAAGCTTATGTAATTCATATGATTTTATTAAATTATTGTATTACTACTTGTCAATAAAAGTGACACGCAACATTATTGAAGGACGTGAATATGTATAAACTGAGTTCAGACCAATTATAAATATTTAATTTCTTTGTCCTTTCTGCTCGACAGTTGTATCCAAAAATTGAGATGTATGTCTTTGTGTTGTGTGACGATATTGCTGAAATATTTACTCGTCACGCATTCAATATAATAATGCATTGATGGTCACGAAGGTTGTGTGATTGGCCAGAAGGAACAGATTTGAATGCATCTATAACGAGCAATAGCGACAAATGATAACGATAATGCTAATAATTAGTTTCTACCTTTTTCATAGAGACTTGGTAAGCTATTAATTGTCTTGGTTGAAGCTGGAAATTTTAAATATTTTAATATGAAATTTTCAAAAATTTTTGGGTGCATTTTTTTTAGCTTTTTTTAATAGTTAGGTTAGGGTTTAGGTTAGTTTGTATAACGATAATATATAAAAGAGTATAAGTGGATTTTGGTAGAGTTTATATATTTTTAAATTGAGGTCCCTAATTTCCAGCTTCAGCCGCGGCACCAATTAAATTCAGCTCATGAATCCGGTTTTTTCCAGAGATTTGTTGTTCATTGGGCTGGAGCAGAGGGGAGCGGAGTGGAAGACTTTTGTATGTCTACAATATTTGGGTCGATGTTCAGCTCCCGCCCCTGTAATTTGATAGCCTTGAACAGTCATCCCCTGCAACAGAAATTCGATCATTAAAATAAAATAGACTATTAACGTGATAATAAAATGAATATAATTAAAGACGATTAACAAAAGCTAATTAAAAAGCTAATTATTTATTTATTGTATCGATTAAAAAAACATAAAAGAATTTATACACCTGAACAAAAGGTTGCAAAAAATGACGATAGAAGAAGGAGACTGCTTCTATAACATCTGAAGAACAGCTAAGCTACCGAAATAATCAAAATAATATTGTCGAAAAAGAAATTCCAAGTGGACGAGTAATATTTATTTATATTCTTCGCCCTATTTGTAAAGAGAGTTTTCCTACGATTGTACTGTATTAGTGCATAAGACGGGATTATAATCAAGAGAAATTAACACCAAAAAGTTTTCAAATGAAAATGATATGGACCCTAGTATATAAAAATTAATAAACTGAAGTCGATGTAAGGTAAAGAGGGGTATTATGACGCAGGTAACTTCTACGGCCAATATCACATGATCTAGTGATCAGAATCGAGCAATTTTGATACCATTCGATTCGTCTCAATGAGACGAATCGAATGATATCAAAAACGTTCGATTCTGACCACTAGATCACGCGATATTGCAAATTAAATTAAAAGATAAAAAATTAATAAACT